GAGCAGGAGAGAGCAGTGCCTAATTGTGAAGCAGAAGGGAAATTATATAGAGAAAAATCTGAAAAGTGCGGTGTGTGTTTGTTTTCAGCCCCCTCTACTCCGATGAATAAAATATGATTTTACTCTAATCCTTTGAAGCTGAAGGACCTCTAATCTTTTTCTCCCTACACCAATTCTCCAGCAAGTTAAGTTCAGAACTTTGACTACACCACTACAGAATGTAAATATATGAAAAATCTAAATTATTTTAATCCTAAATTTATGAGGAGTTTGAACATAAGTACTCTTAAAATCTTAACTTGATATAATTTCCTCTCAACACTTATGCACTACTTGTTGTTGGAGTTAGGGTATCAACGTCTCAATAAAATACTTGTAACCCAGGAGCAAAAATTTTGATTTACTTAGGTTATTTTATGTATTAATGAATGCGTATTTTGCAAAAATTTTACTTTATATACAGCTTATAGGCCCAAATTAAGTGAGCTGTGCTAACATTTTTGAGATTTATATGAATATAAACAACATTAAAATGAAAATTATGAGGTAATAGGCAATTTATTTGGGAACAACATGGAGCTTAATGACTAGGTACATGCTAGGTGGTTGACCTAGCATGTACCAGTCAGTCAGTTGTTTCTATATTTTGAGCCATATGAAAAAGAAAACACATATTACACCCATTTGTAGGTAAAAAAGGAAAAAAAAGAAAAACTATACATCCAATTATGCATAAATACATACGGTGAGGACAAGACATTGAGTCTTCCAATTCATGTTTTATATAATAATTCTGTATTTAGACGTAGAAAGAATGCATTTAGCTCAAAAAGGTGTGGGAATAACACAAACGTATCGTATTTAAATTGTGTGGTCGCCACTGTAATTAAACATTTAGTTTAGGGGTAGGAGTTTATAAGTTCTCACTTCTTCCTACCCCATTTTGAGCATGATATGTTAACTGAAACAAAAAAATCTGTATTTTCTCTTCTTTCTTATGCACTTCTTGTTACTGTGCACTATTTTATTTTATATTTGTATCATGTTCGAATAAAATTTCATTTCATTTCATTTCATTTCATTTCATTTCATTTCATTTCATTTAGTAATAACTTTGTGTCGCATTTCAAACCTGCTGATGTAAAGGATGACATATTAACGAACAGCAGTTTCCATGAGTAAAATCATTTTTCCTTTGTTGATTGGGCACCAAAACCGACTCCAACCCAGGGCCTTGTGAATCCGGCCCTGTCTCCAACATTCTCTCTCTCTCTCTCTCTCTCTCTCTCACACACACACACACACACACACACACGTCTCCTTTTTAGATAGCTTTCCTTCCTCGAGCCGGACATCTTTGATAATGATCTGGCTCCGCAGCATGCCTCTCCGGTCCCACGGGGCCCGCCTCAGTATGCTCATACATGGCTGTGTTTTGAACGGCCTCCACCACGTCTCCTTACGAAAAGAAACCGGTTCTGCTTATGTCGCACCAGGCTCTGACAGGACCAGCGTCCAAACAACCACCTGGGGGGACGAGACAGGAAGCAACTTTAACCGGGTCGTTGTGCCGTGAGGACGGACTCTCTGCCTGGTGCGCTGCGAGGCTGAGCCGGTTGCCAAGGAACTGAATGAACTTGCTATGAACTTTTAGCACGTCCTCGCCAGAGATGGGAAAGTGGTCCTGTAAGCCACGGCTCATGTCGGCCAATTGCTTTGGTGCTAAAGATGAAAAGTCGACTAATATAATGGAGAGTTATCGCAGAATGCCGACGGCCCGTCACGTCGGAGAAAATGGCGGAGTTTGAGTCATTTAGCAGTTTTATTCAGAGCAATTGGCTGAAACTAACAAGCTCTAGAGTCGCCCTTAAGTAGTAAATCTCTTCACTAAGCAGAGCAGAAGCAGAAGTACAAATTAGGTGTGAATAAAGGGTGTTAGTGTGTAAGAGAGGTGTTAGCGGTGGAGGTTTTCTTGCTAGCGAAAAGTCAGAGGCTTTGAAGGTAAAGGACATGTCTGTTCTGATTGTGTTTGGTAGCTTAATCCCTATCATGCAACCATAAAACTAATCTGGACTATGAATAAGTGTAGGTTTGGGATGGCACAGCCAGACAACGCTGCTAGGATCAAGGCAATAACTAAAACGGAGCTTGACTCTCTTTATGTCAATGATTTTTATCCTGTTTAGTTTATTCCTTGATTTTAGAAGCTTGGTGTTTCTCTTATATCCCTAAAAAACCTGTTACATAGTCATAAAGGGGCAGAATTATGCCATTTTATCGCACAATTTAGTAACTATATACCTTCAGTTGTTATAAAAATGCTGTATGACTTAAAAGAAATTTGTCTTGGTAATTTAACGCCTTGAATTGGGCCTCTGTCTCTTAAAAATCTCCTGCTGTTTCTGAATCTCCGCCATCAGGGAGTTATCACAACATGTCTCCTCTGTTAACCCTTTAACGTTTTTACCAGCATTTCACTGCGATGATGATGCAATAATGAGCTCAGCAGATGCGCAGTACCACCAGGTTTGCTAATTGCTGCTGGCTAGTCTGAGGGAGCAGAGTTTGTGTTTTTCGGAGAACATGGCGCCCATTTTGTCTCATTTAATGTAGGTGGATTAAAAGCCAACAGGGAAGCAGGGCTATTTCTTTAAGCAGCAGATTCATCTAAAAGACGATTTGATCATAAATCACTGATATGACCAGCTGGTTCAGACACTGTTTGGGTCAAAAGTCTTAACTCAAAATCAGTTGCTCTTCACTCATTTACTGACGGTAAGTTAAAAAGTAGCTGATTGAAATATGATGGTCAAATAGTGGATTTTGTGAGATTTTATCCCATACAGCTTTCACCCAAAGTGATGATCAGAAACCAACACTTAAATTGGGAGACTGAAAAAAAAAAAAACATCCAGGGAGCAGTTGGAAACATTCCAGGTACAGTGGACAATACCAGGAAAAGCAGCGCATGTTCTTCAGAGCAGCAGCTTAATTAACATGCAATTAAAGTGTTCTGAGTCGGGGATTCTCAGAACGGAGCGTCTCTCAGCTTTTATTTTTTATTTAGAGGGTGATTCACGACAACAAAGGCCCCGCCCTGCTTGCTCTGGGATCTTCTCCATCGTCGTGGGAGCCACGCTCTGGTGGTTGAACAAGTGTAGGTCTGACAGGGGAAGGGCGGGTATCATTTGTTTTGTCAGTGATCCACTTGCTGCTGTCACACGCCTCAGACATGCTCGGTGAACCGACGACACACGCAGGAAGAGTTGTCTCTACTAAGACAACAAGCACAAATACGGGACGTCGGATGGGAATCAATAAAGATTTCATTGTGCCTTATCGCTGTGAGGAGCGATACAACGGTAGTTTATATTTTTTATACATTGTCTACACCAGAGGTTTGCAACCCAAAGAGCCATTTTTGCTCTCAATCCAGCTAAGTAAACTGGTTTATAGCCACAAATATCACATTATCTTTTGAAAAAAAATACAACTTATATATTTTTTTATATAGGAAATTTGTTATTTTTGAAGAACTGAAATGTTACTTCTTCTATCTTTAGGTTTTAAATAGAGAAACACAAAATGTTTGAACAAGTAAGGACACATTTTTTTCAATGGGATGTTGATGTTTGTGGAAAATACTTTCTAATCTCATGACAAGATAAAAAAAAAAAGTCTAAAAATATATTGTTGGTACTTTTAGTGACATTCTGTTATGGAAATTCAATAAAATTCTCCCAAAATGTAAAATGTAAAAGACTGGTTTAACAGTATGCTGGTCTGAAGCATTTAGGTGATTTCTTGGTAGGTGATCGTTAAACCTTAAAAGACACATCCCAGACTCTACAGGCCTCAGTTGGCAGGTAAAAGGTCAAAGTTCAAGACAAGACATTTGTTGTTTTTAAAAAGGGTTATAAGATGAAAGGCTCTTCTTTTTAAAGTAGTAAAAAAAAATACTAGCAGCATTGCTTAAGTTTTCAAAGTAGCATCAGATGAAACCACAAAACTCTTTATCTGTCTGGTCATGATGCACTGCGCTGTGAAAACCAGTGTGAGGAAACCTCACATGAACTGTCAGCCGCCATTGTGTTGACGGGAACGTTTCTGCAGATCAAAGTAATCTAGAGAAAAGATATGAGGCCATCTGGCTGACGGCTGCAGCTCGGTTGAAACCGGGTCATCGAAAAGGACAAAGCTCTTGCACACCGAGATGAGTTGTGTCAAAACTATTTGCAGAAACTCGCAGAAGTATTGATGTATTGATGCAGCTGTAAGTTATGAACAATTTATAACGTAGGTGCTCATAATACTACAGCTCTAGACAAATCTGTTGTGTCGCTGGGTAAGACACTGCATCCACCTTGCCTGCTGATTTTGGTCACCATATAATAACCTGGCTATATTGTAGACTGGCTACAATCCAGTAGCTTGCCATCGCCAGCATGTGAGTGTGTGCATGATTGAAAATCACTGATTTCATGTAAAGCAACTGAAGCGCTATGTGAAAGTCTGATGTCATTTAATTAAAAATAAGGACGAAAACGTTTCTTTTAACTGTTACGGTCTCTGAGACCTAATTTAGGAGTGTCAGAGTGAACAGGCTTGAAGATTTATAAAGTATAAAATTTACATCACACCACCCCCTTTCACAAAATAGTGCATCATACTAATTGTGTACAATTATGTGATGCTTTATCGCATAAAATACGATAAAGCAGCACATTATTGTTGGAAAAAAACTGTAGGAGTAAAAGGCTCTATATAAAAAAATAATAGAAATGACAGTAAACGTACTGAATGAGTTGTTGAGAACCTAAACACATTGATTAGTTAAAGCCAGGTTTGTCATGACGGAGCCTACTCAGCCGTGTCATGTCCAGCTGGCTCAGCAGAGCTCAGTAATTAGGCTTTGATTCTCCCGGTTCTGCAGAACTAATCAGAACTTCAATGGAATCCTGGCTTTCGGGAAATATCTCCGGGAGCTGGCCACTAGGGGCGCTGGTTGCCCTAAACCCCACGTAGTCCAGTGTTTAATGGAGACCCGATATGAAAGATTGGACTGCGTGGCACGTGCGGTATTAAAGCTTATTATGAAATTCAGCGCACGTGCTTGGTTAGACAGAAACCGAGCCGCGTTATTGCTGGACGCGAATCCCTGGTGCTTCACAGCAGCGCTGGTCTTCGGCTGATTACGCTGCGCGAAGTGGGCGGATTTTAGGACCCACGGGTGGATTCCTGTTCGAATAATAAAAGTTGTTGGGATCCGTTCGCTTGCCGACGCGCGACAAAAGCAGCCGGACTGAATCAGAAAGTGCTCGTGGGCCACCCCCGCCCTCCCCGCCGGTGCTGTTCCGAACCTCTCCGCTGCGGCTTTGCAGCAGCCAGACAAGCCGAGCGCAGCGATCCCTCCGCCTGCTTCACTGATACATGTAAACAGACGCAGGGAAAGGGGGCGCGTGGGCTGCCGTGTCCGTGGTTTCCGGAAGAGAGGGTGTGAAGCATGGGACGCAGCTCCTGTCAGGAGCCGATCCTGCCGCACACCTAGATCTCCGAAGCCCGTCGGATCATCTGCTGCCCCGCTTCGGCTGTGAGGAGAGGCATCCTAACGGGACATCCCTCCGGATCCCCTCCGGTGGAGAGCTTCCAGGATCCCGTTTGGAGGGGGTGAGTGAAACTTTTCTTTCTTTCTTTCTTTCTTTTTTTTTTAATTCCTGGTGCATTCGCGTTCTGCACCTTGCACACATTAATGGCGGGGTAATGAATGTAATGCGGTTGGCTCTCACTCACCGCACACACCGGGAAGAGGCGGGATGCTCGGCAGTTTGTACCCGCTTTCTGCGCAGCGGAGAACCGGTGGCTGCAACGCAACACAGCATGCACGGTGTGGATCTGTGTCATGCACCTGGTATGAAGGGATCCTGCCCCCTCTTAGGGTAGCTGAATGTGTGTATCCGTGTATGCGTGTGTGTGTGTGTTTGTGTGTGGCTGGCAATAAAGGTACTGCTGAAACAATTCATAGTTGTAAGCCCTGATGTGCATATTTACGGGGCCTCCTGCGTGTGAACTCTGTTGTGTGCGCTTACTGTAACAGTGTTTGTTTTTTTCTTTGAGAAATAACTGTAAGCCACAGTGGACGAGGCATTTGCATCACACTGATGAGGCTGAAGCTTCATGTCCATCTCAACTGGGGCTCATCTAACCGGTTCTGCAGGTTTGATATATTCATAAGTTTGACAGAGCTGGAGGGTGGTGCTCAGTCATTCTGCAAAATGAGAGCAGAGCCAGCCTAAGGTATAAACAAGAAAAGCTGCTGCTGCTTGTGGGACCCATGTCAACAAGAGGTTTCCCCGAGGGGAAGGGGGATCCAGCCACAGACTAGTTTTTCTTTTGCTTCAGAGATTTAGAAATGGTGAATTGGGATGAGTTTGACATTCCCTTCGATTTAAAAATGTGACCTAACATCCATAAAGAACTGATAAACATAGTTGGAATCATACAGAAGACGGTGCTAATAATAGTTTGAGAATTTTGTTTGCTGTATCTGTCCAAAATTAGGTACAGAAATTATTTTGGTTTGTTTTTACATGCAACCAATTTATATCCCGCACTAAAATAAGTCACCTAAACTACTGTTTACCCGGCACAACAACTGCTAGACTCAAGGAAGTTATTGCAGATGAAAAATCAATGGAGAACTTAACATTCAACATGTTAGTATTTGCAGGAAGATGCTTAATTTTTCTGCACGCCTGAAATCTTGAAGCAGAAGGTAATGCTGACAAAGCGATTCACCGGGGGCGTTTGAGTGGGTGGAGGGTGGGCTGAAGGAGGGGCAGCGTTCATGCGCAAACTTCCACTCAGTAACATGACTGACATGTAATGCATAACGCATCTGTTCTGCTCCTCAGACCAGCGGAACCAGCAGAATGTGACACGATGCCTGCTTCTCGCACACAGAAAACCAGCTTGGCAGTGTGACAACCTCCATCCCCCGAGGCCATGCATAAAATGAGTTCAGCTGAGCCGCTCGGAGGCCGTGTTGCAACACTGCCGACGCGTTTGTGGCTGTCGGGCGTTCAGCCGCTCCACTTCCCTCTTTTGGACTCGTTAGTTAATTTTTTTATGGGCCGTGAATGTCACAGACGGCACCGAGAGAGACGTAACGTGAAAAGGGGAAAAAAAAAAAAGGATTTCTGGATGGGATTCTGTGAACTTTAGATGGCTTTTCCAACTGGAACAATTCGGCAGCAAGTAAAGCGGCTTTCGTTTTGTCCCGCTGGCCTCGTGCACATTTGCAGAATGCTGCTGCAGAATAGTGCAGTTTTGTAGAAAGAGAAGACAAAAGGGAAAAATAAACAGACAAGAGGAAGCTGCATTGCTGAAAAAGCTGGTTATGGTCTATTGATTTTTCTTTTCCTTTTTATTATTTCTGCTGTATGTGCTGAAGGCTGTGACACGGCATCGGCTCCCTTCGCACAGCTGAAGCCGTCTTTTAAAGAGGGAAGTGTCGACACCTTCGAGATCTTTCCGCCTCTTAAGCAAATCGCCTTCATAAACAGAAATCAGTAGCGTCTCTTTTGATGTTTGTGCAGTGGCATTACGCAAAAGATCCTGAGCACCACTGTTGTGTTTTAGTTTTTCATTCCCAAAGGATCTGCTGTTCTTGGCATCTTGTGTTCACACAGGACAATGCTGCCACCACCATGTGTGACTGTGGAGATGGTGTGTTTAAGGTGATGTCTTATTTAGATTAGCTGCTTTTTCACTTGTCCTGACAGCTGTACATGCAGGGCTGGGCATTTCTCACCTGTATTATGTAAAGGTTAGCTCCGCCCACATGAGCCTGATGGGCAAGCAGAGGGTTGGACTCTGGCCTATCATCGCCCTGTGCTGGTTGGTGTCAACTGTAGCTTTACCCTGCATGGCTGCCACTTTAATTTTCATTATCGTCACATGTATATATGCTCTTTTATCAAAGGCAAAAGAAAAATCCTACAACTGCTAAACTCTATTGTTGTTAACATTTCTGGAATGATGAAGTTGCTCTCGTGTCTTCTTCTTTGGTTTTTCTTCAATAGTTCTTGGTGCAGCGCCACCACAGGCAAGGGAGGGAACATATATATATTTTTTTCCAAAGAGTTTGGTTTGTTTGACACAGTGCAGTTGAAGCAGAGGTAGGAAGACAAGCTGCCATGTACAACTGAAGCGTGCTGTCCCAGAAGCACATGCCCGCTGTATCCAAAGCAAACATTTCTGTGTTTAAAGTCTCACAATCTTCAATCTAGCATCCCTGACACCAAAGCGCAGCTGTACACTCGCTGTCGCCGCTCTTGTTATTGTTGCATCTGCTGCTGCCGTCTCTCCTCTGCCGAATCGGCCCCCCCGAGTTCCTGGAAGCTCTCAGCGTGTGTTTGTGCAACTCGGCCGTTATGGAATCGTTCTGCCGTCGCAGGGTTGAAAGACACGAGTTTGGAAAATAACAGAATGGAGAGGCTCCTCCAAACTTATTTTTCATGTTGTGTTTATGATTACCGCTAAGCTTTAGTCATTTCAGAATGCTGCAGCATCAGAAAGAATAAAAATATTACCACTACGAGTGAGATTCACAGTTAAAGAGTCTGGTGGATGATTTCTGAGCTTTAATTTAGTAGATTTTAACAATATTAGCCAAATTCAGCTTCATTTTTAAGCACTATGAGAATTAGGAACAGCATTCAAACATTTTCTTTCTAGTTTTACTGTCGAGCAGTCAGAAAATATTCAGAAATGCAGCAAATACTGTAAAACAACTAGGTTTTGCTAATTTAAAATGCATTAATTTTAACTATGATTAGCATCCAATATTAGTGATTACTATCTGTAAAACTCATTCTTCTTTAGGGCTTTAGCTAAAGATCATTTTAGTAATCAACATTCTATCAATTATTGTGGCGAATAATTGAGTAATTAGACAATAAAGGTTAGGCTCTCCAGAAACTTATAATGCTTATAAGTCATGAAACCAAACATTTCAGTAAATGAGGCTTTTAATATTTTTTTTTTGCAAATCTATATTTTATTGGTTAAAATGCAGTAATGGCTTGTCAAACATCCTATTTAATTCTCTACTCTAACAGAGTGATTAAATCGTTCTAACTACAACAAACACTTTTAAATTTGAAACATTCACTCCAAGTATCTCGAAGGTAATATAGGTTAGTATCAAATAAATTATTTAACTTATGCAATCTATATGGCGTTGTGCTTTTGTTTTTATTTGACACACATGTAAATAGTGCCTCACATTTGTTGTTGTTTTGACACAATTTACTTAGCTCAATTTAGTTTTTAGTTAGCTAACTCTCTGCCAGATAGCCACTACGATTAGCCGGTACATGTAACGTTAGCCACCTGTCACAGATTTAGGAAAACATATTGTATTGTTGTGTAATACTACTCCTCGCCATTAGGTGGAGCCGCTGATAAGGATAAATGAGAAACGGTAGAAAGAGTAAGAGATGTCGAAAGTATGGCGGCATTGTTCGGTTAGTTGCATTTGCTGTGCTACGCTAAATAAATGCACCGAGTTATTCAAGAACGTGTCTTGTTTTCCACACCTTTCCACTTATTTTCTGAACGGAACATAAATAATACCTGTTGGCAACTATAGACAACCTCGATGCCAACCTTTGTTCTCATGGAAAATAAATTGCTTATATTGCTTTTGGATCACAAAAGTAATTAATTGCTAATAATTCTCTGAAATCACGTTTTCAACGATTTCCCTTGGAGCGTGGAGATCTTTTTCGATTTTTGCTCCGTGTATCACCATCCTGCTGATCCTAACTCTTACACGGGTTGTTCTGCGATTATTACTGTGAAATGGGGTAAAATCTGATAGACGAGCTCAGACCAGACTGTCCTGGATGACAGGTGTCTTGTGCAATCACCTGCTGAGGCAACAGCATTGCAGCCATGGACTTAAAAAGGCCCAAACACCAGATGAAGAAGGCTGGTTCTGTTCTGGGGACGACTGTGGAACCACTGGAGGGGGAATGAAGAAAATGATGGGGCAACCCTGAGTTTCCTCTTAATGAAGCAGTTATACAACTATGATTTTTGCTGTAATACTGTCCACTTACTGGAGATGACGTGAGCAAACGACTAGTTGGAGAAAATTGTACTAATACGAGTTGCAACAATGTTAAATTTAATTAAAGTAGTTTTTTAACTGAGCTGAAAAGCAGAAATTGCACTCTCGCATCTCTTTGGATTTGTTCTCCATAAACTCCACAGATGACACATTGCCTGCAGTTGGTCTTTGCATAAAATAATAATTTGTTTTATGAGGGTGTGTGTGTGAAAACGAGGCGGCTCGAGTTACAAAAAGCAGGCAGCAGCCATCTTCAGCCGTCTGTTTATGTTCCATGCAAACCAGTCGTACTCCATCGCTTTGTTTCCACTGAGGATCACGTGTTGCGAACTGGAGCTGCTTTTCGCCTCTCCCGCCAGCAACGACGTGATTGCACATCCTTCCTGTTTGACCAGAGATTTTGATATTGCACTGCAATGAAGAAATGTTTAAAGATATAGAAAATATTTAGGTCTTAGTCTACACATTACGATTAATGTCTCTGATTAGTTTTGCCTAATTAGTCTGGCTTTCTACCTGGGAGTTTTATCCA